TTCTGTAAGTGCTAAACAGTAGCATCAATTGTGGTTTTTACTATTATTATGACAACTATTACTACAGTAATGCAATGCCATTAACCCAAATTTCATGCCAATGAATTGCCTATTTGCCTACTAAGGGACAATAGGAAATAACTGTTAACTTAGTAGATGTGAGAAGAAGGATGTTGTGGCTTAGGGAATGTCTTGATCCCTATAATTGACTTTAAAATGGTCCAGGAAAAAAAAAATTGCGTGTGTGCCTGAAGCCAATGTGATAAATGATGAATACTTGTTGGTTTTAGATGGTGAGTATATGGGGTTTCTTATGCTGTTTTTCTACTTTTCTGTGGAACGTTTAAAGTTGGCCTCCTTCGGTTGACAGGACTCTTTGCTTCCAGGTACGTGGAGTGCTGCATGCCGCCCCCTGTTAGCATGGCAGAAACCGCTGCTGTCCGGATGGCAGCATCACTTATTCGGAATGCCCAGCAGCCCCTTCTCATCTTTGGGAAAGGTAGCGTCAGATGGGCCGCCACTTCTGGATAGGCTTTAGGAAGAAGGCAGGGTCCGGTTAGGAGTTGTCTTGATTCTGTATGACCAGCTCCACTACTTTGGAAGTGAGAATAGAAGTTCTCTTTCCTCCTTTAGCATTGTATGCCCATGCATGCAGCACCTGGGGGTGCTGTGGTTAAGGTGCTTATCTGTTCACCCAAAGGCTGGCAGCTGGAAGACAGAGGTGGTGGTCTGCTTCCATCAAGATTGACAGCCCTGGGAACCCGGGCTTCGTTTTTGGCTTGGTCTGTCCAGGTGTGCACTATAACTTTTGCTACTGTTTTTAAAGCGTTGGTCCATATTGTCAAATTGCTTTCTCCCAAGGTGTTGTATCATGTACACTGTCAGCACTTCATTAAAGTATCTCTCTACTGACTAGTTCCTAGAACCGAGGCAGCTCTAAATGACATGGGATTTAAAGTATTACCTGTCCCTGGTAGTTTTCATGCTAGTCAATTATCAATTACTTAGGAACTAACTCCCTAGGCATTAAAATTGGTTTTAATTAAAAAGGTGGACAACAGGAAATAATTGAGGCTAGAGCTCTGTTGACTGCCACTCTATGATGTCTTGGCTCTGTGACATAATCAGATAATGGCTTTGAGTCTCGATGGCCTCACTTGTAAAATAAGGATATTAATCACTCCAACATGCTCATTATCATGAAATCGTAATATACATAAAAAAGCCACTTAATGGATGCTAGTTTTCATTCTTCCTTTAATAAACACTTGAGGAGAGCTTTCTTTAAGGCCAGGACTATCAGAAACATCCACAAGGCATCTGGAGAACTAATGCCCCTTCCTCACAGGGGAGGTAACCTGTTAACAAG